TACTCGGGTAGAACATATGAATTATGAAGTTAAAAATGGAAGAGATAAATCTGACATATTAAGTTAAAATTGGACTAGACTATACTATATATAAAACACATTTCGCCTACCAAAAAGAGCTTTTATTGTTTTTCAAACAAAATAAGAATTTAAACACATCGAAAGTTAATAGGTAAAATAATTGGTATATAAGCTTTTGAGTTAAACTAACTAATATATTGGATTCAATCTTTTAATGTGGTTCAACCCAAGTGTCTTATTGCCCAATTCAGTTGTCCATACTCATCCTAAATTCTATCATTTAACATTTTCAATAAAAGTACATTCATTTATAAATTAAAAGTTTAAAAATAAACTACAATCATTAAAAAATTTCACCCTCGCTTCTGTAATGCTACAGTAAGGGGCTGTTTGTTTCAGCCTCTTAATGGTTCTGATGTCTGAATGATTCAGCACTTAATGGTTCAGACTGTTTGTTTCAGCCTCTGAATGGTTAAGACATTTGCCTCTGAATGGTTAAGTATTATACAGAGTTTGAATGGTTAAGACCTCTTATCTGAATTGATCAAACATTTGCCTCTGAATAGTAAAGCAATATACTAGCTCTTAATGGTTCAGACCTTTTACTAGTTCAGCACTTACCTATTCAGAAGTTGCCAAACAGCCCATAACTGTAAATATATCCTTCCTCCGTCCATATCTTTCTTAGCTTCCCAGTTATTACTACAACATGTCGATAATTTATGTTTGCATACATATTTTCATTAATCTTTTGATAAAATAAAATATTTTTGTCATATCTTGTTTTGTAAATCTTTTAGTATAAGTTTGTATGGTGTAATTTATATTTTTTTCTATGTCAAAATATAAATATAACCATTTTTTAAAAAATATAATTTTGTACGATATTCAAAATGAGAAGAAAAATATGAGTTGAAGGAGTAATTGTCAGCATTTTGCTAATAATGTCACATGATCAATTGATCAAATGGAGTCGGAATACAAAAGAAAAAATAATTAGTGGTGATATTAGGCCGGTAGACCGGGCCTTTCGTAAAAAAACATAAAAACCCAATTCATTTGAAAGCCCAAATGCCTAGAGATTGAGAAGGGAGTATTTCGGCCCAAGAAGATTGATCGGGCGCGCTGGGCCACCAGAAAAGAACGAAAGGGTAAAATCTAGAATGAATTTTAATTGAATCGATTTGTATATTTGTATTTAATTTTCTAATTTTTATCTTTGATTCAATAAATAAAAGTAAGGTGTGGTAGTAGATTATTATAAAAAGTAGGATAAATATATATATATATATATATATATATTAAAATTAATAGGGATAGAAATGATTTTTTAATACTCTGTATAAGTGTTTTAAAAAACAGAGGGAGTATATATAAAAAAGTGACATATTTATTTCAGTGTATCAAATGACTAATAAAAATGCACACCCAAACCAAAGTTATAATAGTAAGTATGAAGATAATTTTGGGATGAAAAATTTTATTCCTTCCATCATGTAATAATGTTCTACATTACTATTAACATGATCAAACTATATTTTTTTAAACTTATTTTCATATCATTTGATTAATTGAAATAGTCATGTTACTAGTTTTGAGTCAAACTTGATGAACTTTAATATTTCGATCACTCTTAATTTGTATTGCACATTAAAAAAATTAAGTAAAATTTTGAAAGTTCTCAATTAGATTAATCTAATTAAATCATTTTTACACCAATATACATTATAATTTTTATTTAATTGAGGTTCAAATTTTATCCATATTGAATTGAAATGTGAAACCGGATGAATACATTCGGGCAGATGTAGTATTATTTGATCGGCAAGGATCTTTTGAGCTTGGCCAAAAGTGACATCAAATGACTGGTATTTTAGGACACCTACGATACTCCGATGGTAAAACGGATAGTTCCTACCCTCTGCCAAACCAACGATCTAGGAGGGGCGATGGTGCTAAGATGGGGGTGCAGTGGGTTAGTCATTAGTGGGGTTAAGGGGTAGGAACCCTAAAATTTACCTACGGAGTAGTGTAGATGCCTCAAGTCATTCTAACTTCTAAGGTTAAAAGAACCGTTGTGTTTTTTGAGTGACGCGTATTCTTTAAATTTTTGGCACGGTTTGAGCATAATATGATATTGTATCATTTCATTTCAAAATAGAATACTCCCTCCGTCCCATTGTCTTTGTCCACTTACCTTTTGGCACACTATCCAATGCACTTCTTTAATCAATTTTATCTTGTAATTTGTATATTAAAAAATTATAAAAATTATATATTAATAATCTATATGTTAAGACGAATCAAACAAGATCACACATGACTATTTTTAGACTTACACATTGAGAGGATTTGATGAGTCAAAGTGCTTAGATGAACAGTTTCAAAAGTCAAAACTGGATAAAGACAATGGGACGGAGGTAGTAGTACCGAATGATTTCATGGTTTATGCCGTACAGATATCGAACAATATAAATAACTACAGTCCGTGATAAGTTTCGGTAATATCACAAACTGTCACGGATCACGCCACCCTAGCGCAAATACAATCCTCAAGTCCTGTGTTATTGAGTACTTTATTAATGCCCCGTTTGGCAACAACGTTAGAGCATAGCGCTGACATTTTTAAAAGGTTAATTAACAATAGCATTTAGTGTTACCATTTTCAAAATTAACTTACACCGTTAAATGTTTGTCTAGAATGCTAACACTAATAAAAAACAATATTCTCAAACAAGACCTAAATTACTCCATTAGACGTAGGACTACTTCAAATTCCGAAAAGTAAGACTTCTTTCTTCATTCAGATTTTTTCATGGAGTGATGCTTATATGGTTCAAAGTCCACATTTTGAATATGAGTCATCTCATACGTTTCATGAGCTCAAATGTAGATATTTTCCGTTTTATAAAATGCACACTTCTTTTATTATACGAATGTACTAATATCCATAAAATGAACATTAACTTTAAGTTGAGGGAAAAATTTGCCTTATATTTTTTCCATGACACTAGATAGGCACAAAGATGTACTCCCTCCGTTCTCAAAAACATTTCCTCTTTCATTTTTTCCACTTCCAACAAAACACTTCCCCTTTCTATTAAAAAACCACTTTTACCCTTACTTTTTCATACCCTACATATCACATCATACTTTTTCTCTAATAATCTATCCATCACATCAGGGGCAAAATTGGAAATCAACTATACTTTAACACTTCTTTATTTTTGCCCCCAAATCAAATGAGAAGTGTTTTTCAAAACTGAGGGAGTATAACATTTCTTATAGCATGTGGTTTTTAATGATTCTGGAATAATACCCGGGTACAGTCGAGTCTTTTTATTATTTTATGTGATTAATTTTAAATAAATACTCTAGACCATATATTTTTTTTGAGTTTTCACTCACTTTTAATTAAATTAAATACTCCCTAATAAAAAATAATACTCGTCAAACTCGAAAACTTAGCCATAAACTTCAATTATGGGGTACTGGAGTGTGATTTTTGGGAGTATATATTTTTTTGAAATAAGATAATGTAAATTAATCGAGTTGAAAGTTACAAGAAGATCAAATCTAATCTTGGTTACGGGCATGCACGGACCAAGTTTTTTTTAACATACTCATCCATCTAAGGTTGTGTTTGATTGTGGTAAAATATTTTCTTTGAAGAATATTATCTAAAGGAAAATAATTCTAAAGAAAATTATTCTTCAATTATATAATCCATTGTTTGGTAAGAAAATATTTCCCTTCAATTCCAATAATGTCACCATACACATGAAAATGGAATCAAAATTTTCCTGGAAAATATTTTACGCCCAACCAAACACAACATAAGTCACACTTTACATTATTTGAAAGAAAAATTTGTCTTTATTTTAACTTTAATTGTTCATAGTTTTTTTCCCCAATATTTATTGTTAAGAAAAAATCTTTATTTATCTTAGAAATAATTCATTGATATTGTAATCTTGGGGATGTATATATCCTTCCTTCAAATTTGAGAAATTTAGAAAAGTTTTGATATAAACAGATATCAAATCTAAAATACATTTCAATATATTCTTTTGTATATTGAAAAAGTGAGAAAAACATTAAAATGTACTCTATATATAATGTACTCGTCGGTAAAACTATATATAATGTGTCATATTTTGTTTTATGCCTGATAGTGATACTTATATTTTTAAATTAAATCAATGCTAATTTTGATTTTTCACCATCAATTATATAAAATTTCAACTATAAAAATATACTCGTATATTTAGACGTTAAAAGAAACTTTTTCAAAGATATCAACAAATGAGAACAATAAACATATAGTAAGCCCTATTAAAATTTAGACAAATTCTTCCTGATCATAAAGAGTATGCTCTTTTTATGAACTTTAGCGTATTTATATTATAAAAGAATTGAATCTGTGGTAAAAAAAGGAAAGGATTCAGTTGTCAACCAATGAAAAATATGAAACGGTCTATATTTCACATGTGGACTTTAGAACTACAAAAGAATAATACAAAAATTTGGGACCCCGCTTAAGTCACATATAGTTGATTTTTCAAGAGATATACTTCACTTTTTAATACTCCCTTTGGTGCTCAAAACCTTTCCTTGTTGACCTTTTTAAAGTAAACAATGACACTTTTTAAATATAAATGGTGAGAAAAGCATATTTAAATATGATATAAACTCAATATAATAAGATTCATTTTAGTATATAGTTTTGAAATATCAATTTTTTATATCAATTATTTAAAGCGTGTTTAATTTATAATTAAAGAGACTCACTACTTGACCAAAAATGTCAAAAGAGAAAATGTTTATAGGGGTGGAGAGATAGATATACTTTCAATTTTTAGTTCTCTCATTTTCGCCGACATATATACAACTCCACAATCTTCCAATTCATATCCCAACAAAGTTTAATTTGTTCATTCTAATGTAAAGAAAAAAAAAACATGTTGAAGTTTGTTCAGAGGGAGCTTGAACCACTCAGCCCCGGCGGCCAAACGGAGGCGGCGCGTGAAGAAGAAGAAATGGGAGAGATAAGCTACCGCGATCTGAACAAGCGGATGTGGAAGGACTCGATGCGGATGCAGAGGCTCGGGGAGGAGCGGGAGAGCGCCGCCGCAATGGATAATGAAAAAATCGGCGGCGGCGGCGGCGACGAGGGGGAGGAGGATTCGCGGCGGTCGGAGTTGTCCCGGCGCAAGAAGGCGGCGAGGTCCCAAGACGCGGTGCTCAAGCACATGGTCAAGATTATGAACGTCTGCAAAGGACAAGGGTATGAATCAGTGCTACATACTCTTTTGTACTCTTACAATTACTTCTCTTTTGGCCATGATTTTGAATCTCCTTTTGAAAACTTATCAAAAGGAGATTTTATTTATTTATTTATTTATTTATTTATTTATTTATCATTCCCTGTTAGTTTCTTCTTCTCCTTCCATCCTCTTCCTCAGTTAGTCATTCCTGTTTGCTTTGTTGACACTTCATGTGATAGGAAGCTTTTATTGTTTTATGGAGTTTAACAATCACCTCTCTTTCCGGCCTTATCTATCAACTCTGGTTTACCATTACCAATTTGAATATTCTTTTGAACCTCTAATAATTCTTCCCTGATTTCATCCACCTGCATATGTGTCTTCTTATATTTAGATGAGTGGAGTCTCCTAAAAGACTCTTTGAGATCTTTTAAATTCTCAACCAGCTAAAATACAAGATACGGGTTTATATTTAGTTATTTACCATTATTATTATATTATTATATTAGGTAGTATCATTATTTATGGTTAGTTAATTATATTATTATTAGAAAGTAGTATTCTATTATTAAGATACTTGTTACCATTTATAATTAGAATTCCTTGTTTATTTAGTTTCCTTCTACGGTAAGGATTCTTTAAGGGTGCTAGCTATATATGTATCCATTTCAATGAATTATGAATCAATGAATAAAGAAAATACTTTCTCCTAAACCTTAATCTCTCTCTTTTCTCGCCTCTTTTGTTCTTGGAGCTCGAAATCCTTCCCTATCCCGATACGATACCGTATCAATTGGTGCTCTCATTCTTGAACTCACCCAAAAAAAATTATACAAAAAAATCAGCCACAAAATTCAATTCAATTTATGTGTGGTGGTGTTTCTTTTGGCAATGGATTCTCTGTTGGACAAAGCTCTTCGTTTACTCGAGAAAGTTCTACGGGGACAAATTGAATTTTATGAAGGCGTGTGTGCAGTTGAAGATTCCGTTGATGAAATTATAAAGAAACTTCAGGCATTCCGTCCAATTGAAAGTCTACCAAAATTTGATTCTGAGGTATATGCGTTCTCCGTAGAGGCCTTTTGTTCAATGCAGGATTTAGTTCGTGGTCCCCCAATTATGTCGAGCCTAATTCCTATAGAGTTATACATTTTCAAAACAACCATGATGCGCTCTATAAGGAAACTCATCGGCGCTCCACGAGATCCGGCCCCTACAGCACCTGTGCAGAACATAATTTTCCAGGACCAGGAATTTGAAAAGGAAGTTTTTATTGATCCTGTTGGTGTTCTCGATGATGATCTTATTATTTATCCCATAGATGTTGTTCCTGTTACCGTTGTTGATGTTGTTGTTGATGTTTCTGGTGACGATCAACGAGACCACACTGTCCAAGCAAAATATTCAAGTGATGATGTCATTTTTTATGGATGCACGGAAATATTTGGGACGTCCGAAAGTGATGTTGTTGTCCTTTATGATTCTGGGGATGTCACGCGTGTTGGCAAGATTTTCTTGGTATTGGTTCTTTGGAGTTATTTGTTTGGAGTTGTGAATGCTTTGAGCTTGGCAAATTCTTTTCATGCTCCATTCATAAAGGTCTTTGACCCCGGAGGATGTCTGTTCGCAACGTATGATTCCTCGTTTATTCTAGATTTCCAACTTGAGGACAAGTTGGTTTTCGAGGCGGGGAGAGTGTTACGGGATTATTATTATTATTATTATTATTATCATTATTATTAGTATTATTAGTATATTATTATTATTATAGGTAAGGTATTATATATGGTTAGTTAATTAAGATTAGAGAATATTATTTTTGTTAGGTTATTAATTAGTTTCTTATTTTATTTAGTTTCTTTTATGGATTGGACTCTCTTAGGGTTCTAGAGTTCTATTCTATAAGTTGAGATGTACGTGTTTAGAATTATTCAATCAATAAGAAACCATTTTTCCTAAACCCTAATCTCTTCCTCTCCCATCTCGTTCTTCTATTTCGCCGAACAAAGTGTCGTGCGATTCTCTCTTTCTCGCCTCTTTTGTTCTTGGAGCTCGAAGGTGCTCGAAATCCTTCCCTATCCGATACGATACCGTATCATTGAGATCTTTTAAATTCTCAACCAGCTAAAATATGCTTCTTTGAGCCCCATTCAATTTTCATGTTTGCAGGAGGATTGGAAGAAACAAGGGGTCATTCATCCATGTATTATAAAATCTTAAATAATTGCGAATTCTCTGGTTTCTTATCTTAGTCATCAACAGGGGTGAATGATCAGATACGCCTTCACTTAAGACCCTTATTTTAGTACCCATTTTTGCATCAAAATCTCCAAATCATCTAACAATCCTTGCTAGACACTTATTGTGAAATGGAGGAAATATTTATCTCTTTGATCATATTTCCATCTCTAAAAAAACTTATCATAGCCTCTTATGATTATCACAGGTTCGTTTACGGCATCGTTCCAGAAAAGGGGAAATCGGTGACAGGATCGTCCGATAGCCTGAGAGAATGGTGGAAGGAGAAGGTCAACTTCGAGAAGAACGCTCTGGCGGCCATAGTCGAATTCTTCCCAAAACTCCTAGAAGAGACACAGGCAATAACCAACTATAATAATTTCAACAGTGACAACCCAGCATGCAGCATCTTGTTCCTCCTCCCGGACATACAAGATGCTACATTGGGTTCGCTGTTGTCTGCTTTGATGCAGCATTGTGATCCACCACAGCGGAGCTTCCCATTGGATAAGGGGTTGCCGCCGCCGTGGTGGCCCACGGGGACTGAGCTCTGGTGGGGGGGATCAAGGGGTGGTGTCATTGGAGCAGGGCCCGCCGCCGTACAAGAAGCCACACGATTTGAAGAAAGCTTGGAAAGTCACCGTGTTGGCCGGGATCATCAAGCACATGTCCCCCGATTTGGACCGGATGAGAGATTTGGTCAAGCATTCAAAGTCGCTACAGAACAAGATGTCCTCCAAGGAATCCGGGACGTGGTCTAAGGTTGTCAATCGCGAAGAAGACATCCTCAAACTCGTGACGCAAAAGACACAAAACATTTCGCTCTGCGACAAGCAAGGCGAGGAAGAGAAAACAACCAAATGTAATCAACATGTGGGTTCGAAGGAGAAGAGGAAATGTGAGTTTGAACGTGAAGCGTCCATGGAGATTGCATTGTACGAATGCCCGAACTTGCGATGTCCGAAAAGTTGTTTAGGGTTTGGATTTCTTGACAAAAATTCTCGAACCGAACACGAAAAGATCTGTTCATTTTGTGATGGTAGAGGTGAGTACCCTGAATGGATAGAGGAAGATATGCAGAGGAGCTTGGAGGAGTATGATTCACACTTTGACAATGGGGGATTTGAGAGTTATGGGGGACAAGGATTAAGGTATGATCCAATGATGATGTATGTGGACGTGAATATGGACCAAGTTCCAGCGCAGGATGAGCAAGTTTCGGGTGAGGAAGTTTTTAGTTCTCTTTCAACATCTGTTTGGGATTTAGCGTACGATGATGTTTATCAAGGTGACTAAGCAACAAATTAAACAAGCTAATTATATTTACGGGCCGGTTCCCATGACATTGGGAGATGCTCGGATGCCTCATTCGTAAAATTGGCAGTTCCTACCTCTCCTAACCCTCCCGGTAAACCCCACTACCCCGCCCGAACCTAACACACCTTCACCCCTTTCAATTGCACCCCCGAAGTTAATTTTGACTCTAGAGTTAAAATTTGACTCCAAGTCAAAATTAACTTGGGGGGGTGCAATTGAAGGGAGTGAGGGGATTACCGGGGGATTAGAGGGGGTAGGAACTGTCAATTTTAGCACCGGAGCATCCCTGGTCATCCGGTGACATCGATTCTCAATGTCATGGGAACCAAGGAGTTATATTTATACTTAAATGAGAATATGATATTTGAATTTCATTCCAAAATTTCATTTCAAGACGAATCAAATCAAATGATACAGAGTATTAAATTTGCAATATTTTTCAATTCTTTTTATTCTTTTCGAGTTCTACAGTCAAAATTCTTTAATTTTGATCTCAAAAAGTCAAATATGAATACTACATTGTGTCACAGGGAGTAATTATATTGTTTCTTGCTCTCTCACTCTACATAGCTTCTTCATCATTATCCTATTGACCATCTCTTGCTATATAATCAAAGAATGCAATAAATATATACTATGATAATTGATAATATTACAAAGAAGGAAAATAAAATACATTATTATTGATGTTAGAGTTAAAGGGAGAGATTAGAAGTTATAATATAGAAGCATCAATAATGCTGGCAGTGCCTCCTATTGTGGGCATGTCTTCATAATCCAAAGTGCATGATGATGATGATGATGATGGTGAGAAACCCTTGCAATTATAAGTGAATGATTTATTACAAAGCATTTCAACCTCCACTGCAAATACAGCACAAACTGGTCTATGGTCTGAAAATCTTGATTCTCCCCTTATGTATGATACTTGTTCCATCCCATTTCCATGCCACAATATCCTGTCACACCTGTACATACATATCCTCTTCCCATAAGTGGGGAACACACACACACACACACACACACACACACACACACACATGGACACTGGTTTCTAGTGTCAGCGGATGACACTCGCTCATATATGTGTGTGTCGTTTGGTATGGTGTTTTAGTTTTCGAAAAAAACGACCACTATTAGTTCAATTAAATAATCTTATGGAAGAGCTAGGTGACAAACCAGGCAGGGGTTCGTCGTTTCTTCTTTGATTTGATAGTCTCTCCGGCGTACGAGTCGGAATTAAGAGTGTATTTGTACGTGGGAGCAAACAATATCTTTCCTTCCTTCCAACCACTAAACACTCTCCCTGCTTTTCTCTCCATATTCAACTGCACTTTGAAATATTGCATTGAATATAATACGAGTTAATTATTTAATCAAGTTCATCATAGAATAAATTAAAGGCCATGAAATTCAAAAGGGAATTAATAAATAAAAAGATAATATGTATATAAAGACCTGATCTTTCTCCAGTAAAAACTCCCAATCATTGTCTTCTAACAGCAGCTTTGTCTCCTCGTAGCTAAGTGAAATGCGGTAATTCAAGTCCCCCATCCATATTATGCGGCTGATCGAATATTTTTACTCTTCATCAATCCATTATTACTTATGCACTTATATATATGGAGTATTAACGTAAAATCACAAATTTCTTTGAGTATTTTATGAGTAAAGATGATGGACGACAACTTACTCATGATCAATGATTTTTTCTGGGAAAGAGTGATACGCAGGATTCTTGCAAATTTGGGGAAATTGAGAGCTCTTTAGAATCTCTGCAACATCTGCATTTCTTCTTAGCTCATCCCCTCCTTTCTCCCCAGAAGACAAATGACAACACACAAAGCAGAAACTTGTTTTGTGCACAGACATACTTATTGATATGCAACCCTGCATTTAATTCATTAAATCAATGCAGTTAATTAATCACATGAAAAAAAGAAATTAATTAACTGTCCATATAATTTGTGTAATTGTCATTTGTTAATATGCCTTGAATCTGTATTGTGAGCCTTTTTGTGTGCCTATTTATATAGTGGTAGACTAGTAGGACACAAGAATTCTGTACTCTGGAACCTCTGTCATAATAGAATTTGCCTCCGTTCTTGCCTGTGGACGTAGCCAACACAACTTTGGTGAACGATGTTAAATCTGTGTGCGTTTACGTTTTCTGTTTACTTTGATTACTCAATTACCCTATTCCGTAATAACATCGTTTGTCACAAAAATTGAGTTTGAAGTATTAACCTTGTTGCCTAGACATCCCATGATTCCTGTTCCAACACATGAGATTCTGAGATGGGCGATATTGGGAATCAATTCTCTACGTGCCCAAACGGACAAAAATATCCCGACCATCTGCTTGCTGGCAATGAGGTTGTAGTCCAAGTCAGCTGATGACATGTCGTCGTCAGATATCCGCGCATGGACGACAGAAAAATCCCTGTCGTCCATGCTGGCAGCACGACGACCACCAGAGAGACTCTGGGGGGAGAATTCCGGCACCGTGCTTGGCTTTCGGAGGCGTGTGGGAGAGTCGCATTCACAGTTGCATGACTTGAGGAGAGCGTTGTTGGCCCGGAGGTCACGGGATAGGACTTTAAGGGATGGTTTGTGGAAGAAATTGGACCTTATTGATGAAGAAGTGTCCTTTGCATGGGGCTTTGTGGTGGGACCGGAGTGGTATGACTTGTTCAGTGCTTTGCTTATGAACCCTATCCATCTGGCTGCTGGTTCATTGTCTTCAATCACTAGCACATTTCCTGCGTTCAGTGGAACTATTTCCTGAAATCTGTAACAAACCATATTAAAAATGCGATTTTGATTATTTATTATATATTCCCCAGTGCTAAACATTGGCTTTTGATAATTTTCTTTGTAATTATAAATATTTAAAAATGCAATTTTGAAAATCTACCCTTCAAAAAGTGTTTTGTTAAAAACATAAAAATGAAGGGTTTTCAAGAATGGAGGGAGTGTTTATTAAACTATAATCAGTATACTTTTTATTAACAACATTTTGTCAAATTTTAAAAACTTTGAGTAAGAAAGAGAAGATTATTTTAAGATCAAGGGAAGTGTCACTTTATATAGTTAATGCAAAATGATTAAACTGAATTAATACATACTACGAACATACCCTAAGACATATATGTCCTCAGGAGAATCCTCCACTTGCAAGAAATCTTCAAGGTTGAGTCCATGGTTAGGAGTCTTTCCACCCACATTCCATGTTGAAACAAAAACCCTATACTTTCCATTGTTAAATATATATATATATATATATATATATATATATATATATATATATATATATATATATATATATATATATATATATATATATCTGTGTGTGTGTGTGTGTGTGTGTGTGTGTGTCATGGCACTGGATTCGACACATGACACTTGCTCATTTAGAGTTCAGCCGGTGCTCCGTTCGTAAAATGCATGGTTCTTACCCTACTTCCAATGCCTCCATCACATCCCCAATCCAACCCGACCCCTGCCCCCATCCTAGATCCCCCTTTTAGGCACACATTTGGTGATGGTAAAAGAGGGGGGTCTAGGGTGGGGCGTAGGTGCCGGGCTGGGGTAGGGGTGTGGTAGGGGGTAGGAGAGAGTAAGAAGCATCAAATTTTCATTTAGAGCACCGGGTTAACTCCAAATGAGCGAGTGTAATCCGTTGACACTAGATTATTGGAATCCAATGCCAACAGAACTTTCCGCTTATAAAAACTAATTTGGAAGGACCTAGAGGGACGGTGGAAGTAACTTATAATAACTTAAATGCACTCTATAAGTAAATTATTTATTTCTTTTCGAAATAAATTTTCATATCAAGAAAGTAAAAAATGAAAAATCTTAATAAGAGGGAGAGAATTTTTTTTAATGATATTTATAATTGTCTCATGCTTACATCAAGTCAAAATTCAACAAGATCATAAAATATATGGACTAATTAATATTCTGATTAATTCCAAATACGGAGTATTAATATTATTAATTCCTTATATTCAAAAAAAAGATATTTCTTGAATCTGCATTGTATTCTTTAGGTTTAAAAACTTGCCTGAGAAAGTTTAACCGAGCTAAGTTTTTGGATCCCTTTCATTTCTGGTTGAAAGCTTTTATTTGTTTTATTTTTTTTAAAAAAAAGAAGAAGAAATATAATCAGGAAATAAATTAAAGTTATTTGTTTGTATTTTTTTTTATAACGAAAAATAAATGAAAATCAATAATGTAGGTAATAAATACCTCGTCGTTGTTAGGCTTGCCGTCTGCGGAGGTGGCGGAGCGGCCGCCGGAGATGGCTGCCGCGGTGGCGTCATACGGATCTTCTCATCCGCATTTGCTTGCCCGCGACACCTTCAATTATATATAGACGTATATATATGCATTTAATGACCAGATTTAGATTGCCAATATTGAAACAGATAGCTATAAATATGCTAATTAATATATATATCCAAAATGTATTTTGCTTTTCCGTGTGAACAATAAATATTTTGAAAATTAATAAAAAATTAATTATAAAACATGAGTGCTTTGTCTTGTTTGGGAACTCTATTTTCAACTAACATTATCGTTTTAAATAATTTCTTAGTTGATGTGTTCATTAGTTTTGAATTGATAACCTTAAAATTAAACAATGTTATTGGATCTCATTTTCAAAACATTTAAGTTGTTGCCAAACAAGCATAACATTATGTATATCTCGTTTTTAGTTACTTTGAGTTTTCTTTTAATTTTACAAATCGTAAGATGAATCTAAAAAGTATTTGTAAAACTTTATTGTAGTTATATTAGTCTTTATGAAAAATTAAAATAAATACAGCAACAACGGAACAACCCAGTTATATGAATCCGGATTAATGATATGTACTCAAAAACACACCATCTCGAGAAGTTGGACTATTGTAATTCTAAAATCTAAATGTAATAAATCTGTATTTTCACATATTTCATGAGCTAATTGTTTGATAAGAAGTCTTTATAGATAAGTGAAAATTTAGCTAAAATATCAAAGTAGGAGTCACATGGTCTGAAAAGGAGTATAATAACAATGTGATGAAAAGTAATGACAGTGTGACCGGTTATTCGATGGTGAATCAACAGTCAATGTTGGCGACTGACGCTAGCGCTTCGGCGGTCAGAGACTACTGTGGTAGTGACAATCAGTTAAAATGACGGTACAAACTTTTATTTTTTCTTAAAAACCTTATAACTAATATTTTAGTATTTTATACCTTTTTACTAATTTTTATACCTTTTTACTCTTTAGTTTTACAATGTCCAAATCATATAACAATTTTATGTATATGTTAATGAAATTATCAAAATAAGAGTAAAACAAAGCATTTATACTCAGAATAATAGTTCTATTTTTTTCCCTAAAATAAAAGTTTACACTATGATATTATATGATACTTCCTCCGTCTCACAAAACATTACCCATTTTGAATAGTATTAGGTCAAACAGTTACACGCTCTGACTACAAATTGTGAGAAAAGTATATTGAATTATAATATAAATTTAATATAATTAGATTAATCTTAGGATGTAGTTTTGATATATCAAATTTTTATAACATTTCTTTATATAGATTATATTTAATTTATGGTCAAGACGTGTAATTGTTTGACCAAAAATACATCAAAATGGATAATGTGAGAAACTTAAAACTTATGGTGGCAAGAGGGAGAGCGCATTGTGGGCTGCTGCTTGGGCAGTTGTTTGCTACGTAGTTTGGAAGGCCGTGACCAAGATAATCCATCAAAAGAAACCAACAAGCAGTTAAGAATGTGAGGCCCATGTTTGGTTCAATATCAAATGTTTGATTAATAGTAAGCTTAACAACAATATTTTTAATGCTTGTCACTAGATTGCTATAGAGCTTGCTTGATATAAAACATTATTTTGTGGTGGTAATATTATGTGTCGTGGTTACGGAGACACCACTCTTTTCAAATATGTCGAATAACCAGTCAAGAAAAGGGATGCAATTCTTTTTTATCCTTCACTGAATTCAAACAAACAGGCCGAACGCCATTTTTTTAACACGCATCCTCAACGCCATTTTTTTAAATTTTTGCCTTGAAGAAATTGCCCTCATTCTGCAGAATTACCTTTGTCGTACGACTTCTTCATGAGTCATATTCTTCATTGAGAACGAAAATCCATCCAAGGATGAGTGACTTGCGACTAAAGAGACCTTGATCATTGGTGCGGTACTTTCCACATACCATTATGAATTTGTTTCTACGTCAAGGTGATGAGCGGAAAGAGAATGGAATGGTGGTGATTCTTGTGATTCAATATGGGTTAGGTTTAGGTTCAACGTGTTGCCGGTTTGGTGGTCGTAAGAAATTTAATTTGGTCTGGAAGAAGAATTGAACAACAGCCCGACGTGTGGCTAATGGTGGCGGAACCTACAAGGAGCAAAGGCACAAAATTTTAAGTCACTAAAAACTCATCTCTGATACAATGTAGAAAACAATAAGAGGAGAAAGTATTTCTGTATTAAATTATCTTGGAGATTACAAAGATTTAACCATCTTCATATAAGATCGAAGAGGGTAAAACAAATAAGTAAACTTCAATTCCTACCGTAATTCTATTATATTCTAAAATAAGAATTAAACTAAAATAATTTCTTTAAGTTTCTTTCAGTTTCATTCCAGTTCCTTTTAGTTTTTTTCCAGTTTATTCCAGTTCCTTCTAGTTTGTTTTTCGTTCGTCTAACATCTAGTTTTTTTTTTTGCAGTCCTAAAAAACAAGCTCTTAGAATTTATTTTTTGAAGAGGTAAACTTTTTGTTTCACATATTATTTGAGTTTTTTTAAAGAACGAAAAAATAAAAAATAGACATTGTTATATAATGGGGGGAGTATCAAATTTTACGATTATTGGGGGTCACAATTATTCTTTTTTGTTTTAACAAAACAGGGGCGCCAAATCACAGCGTTACCATTTTTGCCCTTTTCTCTCTTTTAGTAAATGGATTTGATTGATTGAAAAACAGGGGCCATTCATGTCCCTATGTTCCCATTGTAGCTCAAATAGCCCAATAATTGACACACTTCGCAATTTGACACGCGTGAGGATAACATACCTCTTGCCAAAATCTTTCTTCCCAAAATAATTTACATATTTCACAATTTTTTTTTTGGAGTATGTTTTTCGTTAATTATTTGATATTTTTTGAACATGTACTCCGTATTCCATAATTTTTATTTTTTATTTTTATAAAAATTTTAAAATAAAATAAATTTTAAAAACTTTGAATTTAACCGGCCTCATTTTAGGTTTTATGTAGGTCATTTTGGGACGAACGAACGGATCCAATACTAAATTGGAATAGTACAACACTTGAAGTTTAGTTTTTGTACTCCCTCCGTCCCAAAAAGTTTGTTACGTTTTGAAAAAACTGCGTCCCATAAAATCCGTTACATTTCTATTAAAAACCACTTTTACCCCTTACTTTTTCATACCCTACCTATCACATCATACCTTTTTCCTAATAATCTACCCATCACATCCTACTTTAGCTCATCACATCAAGGGTATTTTTGGAAAGTCAATACCAAAATATCTCTCCCTTAATTTCCCAAAAAGTCAAACCGTCTCATTCTTTTTGGGACGGAGGGAGTATGTATTAAGAATATATTCCCTCCATTCCTAAATAAACATGCTATTACATATATCTATAACTCTTATTAAACTTGCTTATGTATTACAACTAATTATTTGATAAAATAAAATAATTTTTATTATATTTTCTAGAACTTTTAAGTTTTGATATATTTTTGGAGTATTATTTTCTAGAACTTTTAAGTTTTGATATATTTTTGGAATATGTGATTTATATGTTTTACTTTTATAGTACCCCTTTGTCTCATATTCTTGTCATTTCTTTCTTCTTGTTCTCAAACGACGTGTAAAATCTAATCTCTTTTAAAATAATTTTATTTAAAAATTGACATAACTTCTAGAGAAAAGAAGTACAACTTATATTTTTTTCAAAACTACATTAAAATTCTAAAAAAGAAGAGGTGACAACAATATTTTAGTTTATCAAATGATCAATGAAACCTTCATAATAACATAAGTAACGAGAGATCGTCATACTAAACAGGAAGACGAATATGTGATGGAAGGAGTAATTTGTTAATAAAATCATTTCACAGGAGGTGAGATTTTGCATCTTGTTCAAAGTAGAACGTTTTTTTTTTAATTTTTTAAATTTTTTGGTGACGCAAATAGTGATTTTGTAAAAGAGAGTGTTTCTTTTTATTTTCATGTTCATTATTAATAAAAAAGGAAAGAATAAATTTTAATTTTAATTTGTAAAAATAGTTTGCAAACGCAAAGATGGTAAATAAACTTTTAATCTTAGCTAGATTGACGGATCGATAGAGATCGTTGAGATATGTCAAATTCGATACAAATTTAAACTTTGTCAAGATGAAACTAGTACCTCTTTTATTTTTATTTTTTGAATGATATTACTCTACTCAACCTAATGACGTATAAAAAGTCAATACTTCCGTTTTCGCTAGGACTCGAATTTGGATGAACTTCACCATGTATCTTAGAGAGTGATCTTCGTGCCACTCAAGTTAGAAAGAATTTCAGTACCTCTTTTATTATGTATTATGGGTAAGAATAAGGTAAGATGCTACATGCAATGTGACTCAAATGGATCAATAATCCATGGTCATATGGGAAAGTACGTTACAAAGCCTTACCATACAAACAAATAATTATGGTGACACAATTGTGCAAATAAAAAGGTGCCAACAATCATATCCACTTCCTCCCAAACTCCACTCATCATTCTATTCTATCCTCTTTCTCTCTCTCTCTTTTTGTAACAAAAAAAATTATTATTATTAAAAATACAATTATATATAGTACTCTTTTTTTTTTGGTAGAAAAAATTACAAAGATGTTGGGAAAGCGTAGGTCGGCGAGCTTCCGGAGGACAACGAGCATGAGGGGCATCACCGTCGACGGCGGGAGTGAAGCGGAGCACGGCCAGCCTCCGGAGGAGCATGCCGGCGGAGGAAAGACGGCCGCCGGCGAAGGCGGCCATATTGAGACGCCAAATTTCTTGAGGACGTGTGGCCTTTGTAACCGCCGCTTGGTGCCTTGTCGTGACATCTTTATGTACAGGTGGGTGGGTACATACTTTGACCATATTTACCCAGTTGACCAGTTATTGAAAACAAAAACAAAAAAATTGAGATTAAAAAAAGGGTATATATTTCTGTTCCAAAAATTTTACTTTCTTTTTTTTGGATGTACAAAAATACTTTTTTTTCTTAGTTTTGTTTTCTATTTTAATAATGAAAATCTGAAATTTTCATCAAAACAAATTTTAAACTTAAAGTATCATTGAATTGGTCAAATTGAAAGATTGCTAAAAGAGAAGTATTATTATCCTTGAAAGTATTATTGCACCAATCATGTCATTCATTTGTAGTGTTCATGATAATTACTCCTAATTAAACTAACACTTCATTAATTAGTCAAGGTTATTTATTGGCACCACTATCACTTGGTCAAATATTCCTTTTTACCAAGAAAAAAAATTATTTATTTATTTATTTTGGACGGTTTCAAAAGTACATTTCACTTGTTCTATTTCTTATTTCAATAGGAATAAATTCCTAAAACAATCTTTTCTAATAAACGAGATTTATGTTATGTTTGTGCATGGATTTTTATGTAGGGGTGACACTGCATTTTGTAGCCAAGAGTGTAGAGAACAAAAAATATTGCAAGATGAAAGAAAGGAGAAGTCCATTAACAAAGTGAAGAGTGGAAAGAATGGTGTTTAGCCACCGGCCGCCACACCGGAGAAGAGCTAGACGGTGGTTGCCGGCTGAAGTACAACCGCCACCCAGAACTCATGATTTTCAGTTGATGTCTATAAATTAGGATGTTTTATGTATTTGCCTATATATGCATATTTACACATCTACACATGCGTGTGTTAGTGTGGTGAATGTGTAGATCGATTATGATTATAATTATAAATATATTATATTTAAGTTATATAATACGGAGTATCTCTTAGTCTTAGTCTTTCACTCTTTTGGATAAAAATTTAATTGTGCATACTACTTTGAAAATGTTAACTCTAAATACTGTTCGTGAATAACTTTTTAAAATGCTAACATCAATCATACCTATAATGTTATTCCTAAACATGCCCATAATTATTCATGGCGATCATTTTCAACAACTTTTAATTTTTTTCAAAATTTAGCTAGAAAGACTAAAAAGAGGAAGATAATTTTTTTAAAAAACTTTTTGATAATACTATCTAAGCATAATGACAATGTCATATAGGATCATTACAATAATGACAAATATGCATCAATATGAATTTTTTGTATCATTTACCCTTGGATTCTTCAAATTTTACATGTTTGAACTTATAAAATTGGGATGGGATCCCCTGTACTAAATTTCCTATCCCACCCTTCTATCCCATACTTCAAGCTTTGCCATACGTCCCTTTTTTCTTTTTTCTTTTTTCTTTTGTTTTTCTTCCATGATGCTCGGTAATTCAATAACCCTCCCCCCCACCACTCCCATCCCACTCCTAACAAATCTAAGTTTAAAAAAATAGAAAAATTATTTTAAATAATTTTACTTTTCAGTGTCACAGAAAATAATCGTTAATAATCTCACCTAATGATCATGTTACGACTGGGGCTCGTGAGGACGTCGAGGACGGGGTTGATCGTGCATGCATGGGAGAGGTGCGGCGTAGTACGAGAGCGAGGAGGCCGCCGCATTGGCAGAAGGACTATGCAATTTGAGAATTATTATTTATTACTCCCTCTGTCCACCATAGATCTTCCCAGTTACTATTCACAGAATCAAACTTTACTCACTTTGTTTGCTCATTTTTACTAGTCATTTCATAAAATAATATAATCTTGTCACCTCTAGTTTTGTAGAACTTTTCATGTAGTTTATTACTATATGAATTTTATTTTAAAATTTTACTCCTATAATCAATTAAATTGAATTAAAAATAAAGTCGGTCAAGCCTCGTAACGCGCAATGGGAAGATCTTAGGTGGACGGAGGGAGTATTATTATTATTATTATGATTGTAATGTAGATTTTATTAGGTGAGCCTCTGCGCTCCTTCGAGGGTTTCTTTTCGGTTCTTTACCTCGATGCTTTTCTTGAACCGACAGGATAGATAATGTAGAAAATTGGGGTTGGGGAACTTGTTTAAAGGGAGGTTGTATCATTGGTTGGATACGGAGAATAACTACAATCTCTTTCCCCTTAATTATTTCTTTTATGTAACTCCCTTCTCATAAGCTTCCAGCCGTTTCTCTTCCTCTTCCCTAGTCTCTCTCTTCTTTCTCCCTAACCTGACTATCTGCCAAGGCACGAAGGAGCCTTCTTCTTCCTTCTTAGTTGGTACTTGTGTATCAGATGACTTAACGAAACTTTTGAAAATACTTATTTTTCGCAAATAAATGAAAGATGGGAGGATTACCTTAGAAGAATATTATAGTGGATTATCAAAAAATAATTTAAAGTATCACTCGAGAATGAAATTGTAATACAAAAAAGTTATAGTGAGCTGTAAATTAAAAATAATTAGTGTCGCTTTGAAGAAAAAATTCTTGTGTGCCATTTTCACAACTTTTGATGAATTGTTATTTTGGAGAAAAATTTGTATTGAATTATTGAAAAAATTCATGTTCTGTAGTGCCATTTTGAAAAAAATAATACAAGCAATAGATTATTGTTGATAAGCATTTTGGGTTATTATAACAATTTGTAAAAATTTGTGTTGTAAAATAATCCTACCTCAATAAAATTAGAGCTTTGAAAAATGTAAAAAGTTAGGAGGTAGAAAATAAAAGAACAAAGTTCTAGTTCCATTTGGAGTATAATTTTAATTATTTGATGGTTTATAGTTGTTTAATTATTATAATGAAATAATAAGGAGTAGTAATAATTACTACGTATATTAAGAAAATAAATCACCATAAATAAGACAAAAATATAGAAAAAGTGCTAAAATAGAAGTTCCATATTATTATTTCCTAAATAAGATTTCGTACTGTGGTAATGTGACATTATACATGTGCACATTACTATACTTTTTGGTAATATACATGACCATGTTTGGTAATGTAAATGCATTTTAACTCCTATTTTGGGAATAAAAATATGAAAGTCCTATTTTAGTATATTTTTAATGTTTTGCTCTCATTTTTTCTTTTTCCCTAATAAGAATAATATAAAAAATCACATGAATAATTTTTTAATTAAACAAAACTATATTTAAATTATTTTTCGAGAATCCACTATTATATTCTTCTAAAGTAATCCCTCCATCTTTCATTTATTTGCGAAAAACAAGTATTTTTCAAAAATTTTGTTAAGTGACCATTAGGTGAGATTATTAACGATTATTTTTCTTGACACTGAACAATAAAATTATTTAAAATAATTTTTCTATTTTTTAAAACTTAGATGTGTTAATAATTGAATACTCTTTAATATTGAATAGGGGTGGGATGGGAGTGAGAGGTGGGGGTGTGGGTGTGGGTTATTGTCTTATTGAATTACCGAGCATCATGGAAGAAAAACAAAAGAAAAAAGAAAAAAGGGACATATGGCAAAGCTGGGTAAATTTCACCAATGGTACCTAACCTTTAGCTGGAATTTTGAAGTGGTACTTAAACTTCAAATCCTTTTACAAAAATTCCTGAACTTACACAATCCTTTTACTAAAAGTCCATTTGCCCGTTTCTAGGTTAACTTCCGATCATTTGGGCCAAATTAGAATTTTATATATTTTAAAATTTTCAATTTGATCCCATTTTTCTTTTTTTCTTTGCTTCTGCTCCCCGCCACCATCGCACCACGTCAAGGTCGCCGGAAAATCAACCTGGTCAGATTCTGGCGGGACCAACGCCGTTCTCTTCGTCTTGAGATGAGGATCAAGAATATCCAAATCATTTTGTACAATTTGGCCTGCAACTCCTCGAATTTGAATTTTTCCACTCGAAAAAACCCTAAAATCCGAAATTGGGAGGTTTTGCAAATTGTCATCAAATCTTGCAATTGAGGGGTCCTTGGGGGTCGCCGAGATGCCACGAACACATTGGAGGGGATGAGCAACGTCAATTTTGCCGGAGGTGTATGGACTATTGGTGCACTTTTAAAAGTTCAGAAAGAAAACATGCACTACTTAAAAAGTTTGGAGGTAAAACACACATTTTATTAAAAATATAAGGACTAATGATGCATTTTCTGAAAATTCGGAGGAAATATATGCACATTATCGACAACCCTACAACCATTGAGTATTAATTTAATTAGAACTAACAAAATATTCATTTTGCATATTTTTTATTTTGGTTTTGCTTCCGTCTAATGTTCATTAAATGACCAACACATATACTTGTAACAAACAACAACAATCCTGTTGGATCCTACGATAAAGTCTGAATAAATATATAAATAAATAGTGAATAACATAATAAATTGGGACAGAGGAAGGAGTAATATATTTACTCATATTTCATCCAATCCAATATGTAAATAAAATCAAGCTAGAGAGCCAGGATACATAATACTCATATAATAAAAATATTATACAACAAATGCCAGAAACCACAACTTTGGCTCTCAAAATATATATTACACACACCATAAATTACACTACAAGAAAAAGAAAAAGAAAGACAAAGGCAAGGAATCTAAGATGATGGTTCCATTGCAAGAATTTCATTACATTCTTCCCCATCTACACTTGATATTGGGTATAAATGACAGCATCTTAGCTTTCATTTATATTCCAATATCATGTTGTTCTCTGGCGCCAGCCCAACACAAGCGCGGAAAATGTTTTCCAGCATAGCCCTCTGCTTTGAGAGCGCATTCACCACCGGTGTTCCAGGCGGCACCTGCTCTCATTTCCCCACCACATTACAACATAATGTTAAGACACACTCCTCATATCAACTTTTGAGTTATTTGTAGGCGACGACAAAGTCCAATGGAAGTGGTTAACTATAACATATTAATAGTTAATCCGCACAATTTCTGATTTTTCACGAATATTATGAGATTATATAACTCTCATGGGTGTTTACAAGAATTTGATTTTTTTACACTAACAGACCATGATTTTTTTTATTGCACATGGAGGATACCTCATTGTTTCATTGAGTATTTGTGATCAATTTGTAATCTTCGAATATTTGAGTAAAAATATTTAAATTCTGAGAACGCCGGTGATAATTATGTAATTTAAGAGTCTTCGTGTAAAATCTTAAAATTCTTGAGTATTTGTGTAAAAATCTCAAAATTTTTGAGTATTTGTGCAAAAATCTCAAATTTCTTAGAGCATTGAGATGAATTTTTCCTTTTTTTAATCAGAAGTTTAGTCATTTAAGCCAATTGAGTCTTACAAAGCAGGCACTAATTAAAATTAGGGGAGGATTCTAAGGGAGAAAAACCAATGTGTAAAGACTTACCAAAGGAGCCTTAGTGAGGTAACTGAGAATTGTGGCCACTGGATGGAAGGAATGGAACTTGTCCTGCAAATATATGATGAAATATAAAGCATAGTAATTGATCATATGAATCTTGAGAGTAAGGGTATGTTTGGTAATTTACATTAACCTAGCAAGCCTATCTTGGGTCATTCCCTGGGCAAACTACAAGAGCCAAGAAGATTAACAGTAAAAGAATGAAATTTATATACCTCTTCCTGGGATTTAAGCTGAATCCGGGAGCTAAGTTCAGCTAGGAGAACCAAGTCCAAGATAATGGGAGCTGCAAGAAGTGAATCCTCACAAGTGTTGTGGAGGACAATGGTGTTCTTTCCCCCCATGAATATTTCTGATGTGTACTCATCCATTGCCCTCTTGCTGTCTCCCACGTATGGCACATACTATTCATCATCAAAACACGAATTTTTTTTGTTGTCTTTAGAATAAAAACGTTATGTC